TTTATTTAAAAAAAAAACTTCATTTTTAAAGATTGATGCGAAGTGTTAGTTAGAATATTTCTGAAATGTTTATGATAGGATTAGACAAGTAAAGCACTTTATGAAGATGGTCTAATAACAATGTTTTAAAATCTGACTAAATTTCATTAAGTGTCTAGGAAACGATGAAATGACCCAAATGGATTAGTAAGATAGATCTTTATAGATAATTCATTAGAGTTCTCAATCCAAACATCAGTCGGTTCCACAGTATAGAAAAAGAGTGAGTTTTCCATTCGCTTCATATTTCAGACTTAATTTTTTTTCAATAGATTCATCAATGAGATGTTCACATAATATTTTTTCAATATATCTGACATCCATAAGTTCCCGAGACATTCTTGAAGTCAGTAGTGTAAGATAGACAATTTTCTAATATAGCTTTTTATTACTTTTCCGCTACAGTTCTTGTATAGATACATTTCTTTCGATGCTACTTTTAGATGAAAAAGTGTACGAACTCGTTCCAGTTTGAATAGCTCGATGTATTTGAACCTTAAGTTCGGATTCAAAAGCATTGAACTATCAAAATTAGAACGAATTCGCACACTTTTTCATTTAAGAAAAGTAACATCGAAAGAAATGTATCTATACAAGAACCTAAGCAGGAAAGTAATAAATAGCTATATTAGAAAATTGTCTGTCTTACACTACTTACTTCAAGAATGTCCTGAGGAATGGTCCAGAAAGGAATAAAGATAATGATAAGAAACTGCCGTAAAAATGATTTAAGTTGTATACATTATTTTGTATTAAAGTTGAACCATTTTTTCTTCAATAAGTAAACCATTTTAATGCGTAATCCAGCAAGCATTTTTGGGGGTTATTTGTGACAGTTTTTCACCATTATAATTATGTAAGTTTTCGATCATTATAATGCCATTTCCCCATTGCTACTTTTGGCTGGGATAGAGCGCGTCCTGAGCGGATGTGAACAGGAGTTATTCTCCGACCTCCTTAGGATTCGTGAAGAAAAATTAGTATTTTTAAAAGTTGTGGACGAATGGTTTTAACTATCGTTAATCAGTTTTCGCTATTAGATAGAGCATGTTAAATTATACGTATAGCATAAATAAAGTCTTGGAAAAAATGTCAACCTATGCTAGACCATATTGCCAGCTTCTAAACCAATCAAATTTTTTTTTGTTGGAAAGAGCAAAGTCTGAGCTACAAGTTTTGTATCAGGGCTGTTTTTTCTGAATGAATTTACGAAGCAAGAAAAGCTAAAAACCAAACACCTCTAAAAAAGTTCTTGCAACTTCACCTTCGCGCGATATCATTTTTTTGTTTTTTTTTTTTCATGTTTTTATATTAAAAGCAAAATGAAAACGCACGTGTAATGATGATTTTGTAGCACAAAGGGTGCTCTTTCCAATGGTGTGTTCGAAGTTAAATTTAGTCTTGGTTTCTTTAGAAAAATATACCTCTTTCTAGATGACACTGTATAATTTGATCTTTGTTACTACCTCGCCGTGTTGCAACAATAAATGAGGTTTTTTGAATTCTTTTTTTCTGCTAAGTTTCTAGGATCTGATATATTTCAAACAAATAACATACAAAGATGTCAGTTCACACATAGTTTCTCGAAACTGTAGTTGATTTACTTCCAAATAGGTAATCCTTGCAAAAGACTCTATTTTTACAAAAATTTCAATTTCCTATTTTTTTAATTAAAGAGTCAATAGCTACTATTAAAAAAATTTACCAAGGCTGATATCGATATAACTTTCGATGTGTCACATTTTGGTGTATTTTTTGTTAGAATTCGATCCATGTAGCTCAAGATAGTTGAGAAGTAGGAACTTTTCAAATTGCAAAAACGTTGCAAGAACTTTTTTAGAGGTCTTTGGTTTTTGGCTTTTCTGGCTTCGTAGATTCGTTCAGAAAAAACAGCTCTGATACAAAACTTGTAGTTCAGACTTCGCTCTTTCCAACAAAAAAAAATTTGATTGGTTTAGAAGCTGGCAATATGGTATAGCATAGGTTGACATTTTCTCCAAGACTTTTGCATCGCATGTTATTTGAGAAACATTGTTTTGGAAAAGTCTGATTTAAATAGTCATTGCTGATAGATTTAGAGCATGAATCTTTTTTAAAATTATTTTAATCTCTATAAAATCTCATCTTAGCTTTAATGAGAAATCAAATGACATTCGAAAATTGTTGATATTTCCTCAAAAGAAGAATAAACGAATAATACTATTATTGTCAATAGTTTCTATCAAAATGATATAGAAGATTTCGTCTGCTCTACCCTTATCACTCTTCAAAAACTAAGAAATATACGAACTGATAGTCATTCGTATATGCTAATAGGTGCATTGGTCAATGTTTGTCACATCAAAACTCATTCGAATTTCCGAAATGAAACTAATGAAAAATGCACTATTGACCCAACATCCTTATCTTACTTCCAAAGTACCGGTTTTTTTTCAAAAACAAAGAAGCTGCATATGAGAGTTATGTTTAGTGTTTGCCTTGACCAATTATCCTCGGTTACCGCCATTGTTTCTAGTTTGTCGCGAATTACGATCATTTTTTTTTGAATAATGATTATTGCGACGAAAGTTAGATAGAGACAAAAATGATAAGATTATTGACCAAGAAGAAGATGAACACGAATGTTCTTAATTAATTCAGTTTCATCTAATGGAATAATAAGATATATGTGTATATTCGTTTAACTGTATTTATAACAAAATATGTACTTTTATTACGTTAATGTCACATGAAAAATTTAAAATCTTCCTAGAACAAATAAAAAATTTCACTTTATCCTTACTCTCAATTCTGATTTGTCTTATAACAATTATTTTAATTCAGAAAAAATGAATAACTTATCAAAATAACATAAGAAAATGAAATTATTTGTATTATATGAAAAAAACTAATGTAATTAACACAGACACAGGATATAGGATTATTTTAGTGCATATAACTATCCGTTAGCGTGATAACCGTGAGTCACGTTGGATACTTTTCCTACAAGTAAATCTTTAATAGACTCAAAAATTTTCTTTGAACGACAAAAATACAAATGAAATTTGTTTCAGGCATTCTATAAAATTTTATTGAACATACTGAAAGATACAGAAATTAATTTTTTACAAAATGGTATATTTGAATCACCTTTCCTGCAAATGCTTTAAGAGCAACATAAAAATCTATCACACTAAAAATCATAATTTTTTCGATTTTCGAATTTTCAGGCAAAATGATCCTCCATCATAAGTCTCCTATTTTTGAGCGGATCGATCTAAATACGCCATTCTTGCACCATCTTGTAGAGGAAATATTAGACTTCAATATTATGCATTTTAAGAGTTTCTTTGATGTCTTCAGGAAGTGCGGTGAATCTTACAAAAGTAAGATTTTACCTGTCCATTGGAAGTTTTTGAGCCTTTTAAAGATTTACTTTTAGCTCAATAGCCCAAAGTCATTGGAAAATTCTGATTAGATATCCTGAAAGAGCATCAAATTCTGATTCTAGCTCACTACTTCTTACTCCTTCGCATTGCATTTAAATGCGCGAAAAACAGTCAAAACTTTCCGACCACTCGTTATATAATTATTTATCTAAACTGATCCGTTTTTTTGTATTGAGATTCTGTTTGACGTAATTTTAATTATACTTAGTCTTATTTCTTTCAAAAACTTCATCTTATATTTTTATTTTTCAGTCGAAATTAATGTTCAATTTGATATGTTAGAAGCAATATTATCAACAATGCGTCGGCTAAAATATTTGACAATAATATTGAATTGGGTATTCGTATAAGCAATAGATGTCACTGTTCTATGGTGATATAATGTACTTTTTTTGAATGACAACATTATAAATCCGATATGATATAGACTTCATTTAATAATAAAAAGCAACAATTTAATCCTAAGAGCATATACTTGATATGATATTATTAATATATTCTTTAAAAGAAGTACTAAATAAGGTATGGAAAAAAAAAAGTTCTCGGCATTTTTCCCATCGATATATCTTTGCAACTTACTTGAGCAATTTTAACAAATATTTTGCTTCTTCAAAAATAACGGGTGGGGCAGATCAAAACGGTCGTATTTTGCATTTCAATTTTTCATCACTTAATACGTTGTATTAGAAAAACAAAATATATGTCACAAGATGCAGCATGAAAAGCTCTGCAATTTAGTTATTAAAATTGCTCAAGTAAATTGCAAAAATATATCGATAGAAAAATTGTCGCGAACTTTTTTTTTCATATCCCAAATATTGATGCAAAATATATATATATATATTGCTTATACGAGTTATATTTGTTTTGTATATACATTGATATTAAAAAATCTAATTCAATTAACTAATTGTAGTCATTGACAATGTCAATCCTGTTTTGAATCTCAACATGGGTATAAGTTCCATTATTCAATTAATTTGAATTTTTTTTTTTAAGTATCATTTTCATAACGACCATCAAATGTCCACAATGTTTAATAGAAATAGTAGAAAACCAAGTAAAAAAATTGACCGAGCTTTCAAAAATAATATGAAATCTCTATCAATTCAATACTATTTTTGTAATTGTATGGATATTCTAGAAAAATATCAAGTAACATATCTTATATTTGAATGTTAAATTTTTTTTCTTGAAAAGGAACATCTCGATCGAAAATGTGAATATTGTAATCAACAGTTTGATTTAGTTGAAAATCTTAATGAACAATAAAGTATTGAATTGTAAAAACAAATTCTGGTGAATTGTTTGTTGAAAGATTTTGGTTGTTATGAACAAGTATAGATATTAAATAGTTGATACTAATTTATCTAAAGTTGTTTTCTATAGTATAGTCCATAAGAAAGATATTCCATGAGACAAATATGTAGTAGGTATTATCCAAGTATTTCACATTCTCTCTCTTTATACACAGTAACGTATGTACAGACATAACAGACACAATCAATAAGCTATATTTTTTTCTTCATTTAGATGGCAAACATAAAAGATTTAAATTTAAATATTCATCAAGCATTTGATACAACTAAAATTGAAAATCAATTTGCTCATATTTTCGAAAAGATAACTGATCTTGAAGATATATCGTATTCTCATTATGTGAACCATCGATTTCGTTATCATAAAATTCATCTTGCTTATTTTCAAAAGATTAAAGATAATAAAAAGGAAATAAAGGAAGAAGGTTTATTAAAAAAATATGAAGCATTAAAGGAAAAAATATTCAATACAAGAAAGTTCGATTCAAACTGATCATATATCCAATCAAGAAAGGAATTATGATTCTGAAGAATCATGGAAGAGTATTCAAGATCGAATTACATCACTTACACATTTACAAGATACAAATGAAATACCAAATATCTTGAAAGATATTCATAACCTTCTCATACCTATTTTTCAACATCCTATAACAACAATTAACGAATATATTATACTACAAAATAATTCTAATGAAATTTTAAGTTTATTTGAAACATTAAAAATGACCGAATTAGATGAAATTCCATCAGACGAAAACAATGATCAAAATTCAAATTATATTGATTTATTAAATGATTTGATCGATTTTGTTTTTAAGGGTTTAGAAAATCGACAAATCTATTTTGTCGAAGTTCTTCTTTCTGATCTTCCTTATTTGAATAAAGTATTATTTGATGATATTCCTCAAACAGAACAATCAATTACACGCTGTTATCGTGAATGGGCTCGAATCTTTTATTCTGATAAACATGATGGAAATCCAAAGTTCGATGAATTAATGAAACATATTAATTATATTCGTGATTGTTATTTATCAAAAATTTATTCTCTATGTACTAAATCCAATATTATAATAAATGTGGAAACCTCGGATTTAAATCCGAGTGTTATGTGTACTTCAAAAAGTGAAGAAACGATTTCTTAACCCAACAACTTTTGTTCAGAATTTTCGAAATCTTACTTCAGATTCGGATTCACCGACCCCGATTTACTTTCGTCAACCTTTATACAGTATCGTTATTTTCTTAAAAAACGGAGTTCAAAATTTTCAAAATCNTTTGTTTCTAGAACTCCTGTAGAATTGCATACTTATCATATACCAAATATGCCACCAAAAAATATTATTCCAATTAATTCAACTAGATATTAAGTGATCTTTATTTTTTTTTTTTTTTTTTTTTTTTTTTTTTATGCTTTATTAATAATAAAAGTTAATGCCCGTAGGCCTATTAATACATCATACACTACAAAGTATCAGCAAGTAAAACGAGAAGAGATGCACAGAGTGGAACAAGAAGATATACAGAGAGTAGAACAAGAAGATATACAGAGTGTGGAGCGAGAAGAGATGCAGAAAGTATTATAAGATACCTGGCCCGTCGACACGCAACTCACAATACAGTCAGACATACATACAACATGACATAGCACAGAACCAAATTGCAAGATATTATAATTAACGTCCGAGGGAAGGGGGGAAGAGGTCCGATGCTCATTTAATACGATATACTCACAAAAATGAGTTAGGAAAACGTACAAGAATGTCGAGCTCGTTTTCCGGTATGTAAGGGATAGAATTTTCATCGCTATTTTCTAGCCAGTGTAGACATTTTTCAATGATAGAGGTATGAGGAACAATACGTTTGGATCTATGTATGCATTTCACCGGGAACTCTTTGTCTAACCACTGACTCCTAATTGAATTTAAGGACTGTTGCTCGAAGAGAAGGAATCCATCAGTGGAGTTTCTCAACGCACTAAGATATTTTCTCCAGTACTTATTGCACAGGTTCACAAGGGATCTTTCCTCGAACAATAATGCAAATAGGAAGTCATTCCAAAATTGTACTCCAATGGTCCTCTTTTGAGAAACAAAGTAGAAATGACTCAAATCATCCTTTTGATACTCAGTGAGAAGCGGAAAAATACCAAACAGCCATGTGAAAAGAGGTCGAACATAAGTAGAAAAAAGAATCTTTCGGAATTGTGGTGATGTGGAGCCGTACATACGGCAAGATCTTACAATCGCTACTCTTTGCCTAATCTTACTCTTCTGCAATGAGATCATTTTACTCCATCCTAGTTTGCAAGAGATATAATACCCAAGATACTTAAAATTTTTAACCCATGAGATTTTATTATCTCCCATACTCAACTCCAATTTTGGGTTACCAACAGCTCGCGCAGTCCACAATGCTTCTGTTTTACTATAGTTTATCGGTTGGACTGAAAGTATAGCATAGTACTCCAGATAATCAAACAATTTCTTTAGTCTTCTCTCTAGGTCTAAAGATTGTTGAGAGTATTTTAACCCCATCGTTGCTCCAATCACACATGCCAGGTCATCTGCGAAAAAGTTGGGGAGAGTGTTCTGAAGATAAGTCCACATATCGCAGTGATATGTGATAAAAATTGCGGGGGTTAAACAAGAGCCTTGTGGCCCTCCTTTCAGTATAGGGAAGAACCTAGAACGCTTCTCGTTCATCTCAATAAATCCCACTCTATCGTGTAACCAGCTTTCAATCCAGCATACATACGCTTTGGGTATTCCTAGTCTCGTTAGTTTGCCTAGACAACCTGCCCACCACAACTGATCAAAAGCTTGTTTAAAATCAACAAAGACTGTAGCTACCGGAGCACTCGTACTCATTAGCGATGTAATTTGATCGATGAGAATAAGTACACGAGATTGCAATCTAAAGTTAGATCGAAACCCGGACTGTGAATCATGTAAGAGTCCTCTGTTCTTCAGTACTTGCTGAAATCTGCTCAGGAACAGACGCTCAAGGACCTTTAAAAAGATATCCAGGAGTGAGATAGGTCGAGTATCCACGATCGAACAGGTCGGCTCTTTTTTTGCCAATAGCTTCATTTTTACGTGTTTCCAGTATGATGGACCTGAGTATTTCGAGAATGAGTGATTGAATATTTGTAGAAGAGGTTCCATATACTTGTTAGGTAAGAATCTGAGCATGTGCGGAGAAATCCCATGTGCATCGCACGAGTGTTTCTTCTTTACTTTAGCAATAACTTTTAAAAGTTCAGGCATCGTAATCGGAGGGATAGGTTCATCATAATTCTCCCATTGTACTATAGGACTGTCAACGTACGGATGTGGCCGGTAAACCTTGGTGTCCTGGAACAACTTCTCATAGTGCGTAGCTGCTATGTCAAGCATTTCATCGATATCCGTAACTATTATATTATTTTGATCGATTAACGCTTCCAACGAGTTAGTCGTTTTAAAATTTTTTCTCACTTTAGACCAAAATGTATTTGACGAAGTTGTCGACGAATATCTTTCTCTCAATGCGCTCTCCAATTTGTTGGAGCGGCAGGTGATTAATTCTAACCTATTACTTCTTCTGAGCTCCTTAATCTGCTCATGTAATCTGACATCTCCAGTTCTTTTATGTTTAAAGGACAGCGCCCGTGTGTACGATAATTTCAATCTCAATTCCTTGGGGATAGCGGCCCTATATTTATTTATGGGGAAATACGTTGTACATCTACCTCTTAGACAATCCAAGAGAGTAATAAAATTACTATAATACTCATCTAATGACGCAAGACTGCTTTCCTTTTCCCAAAATTCAGCTGTGAGAGCAAGAAAATAGTTGAAAACTTTCCAATGTGTGTTGCTTCCTAATGTATTTTCTACACTTTCACCGCTCAGTACACAAAGGACCGGTTTATGATCGCTGGTAGTGTTGTCAACACAAGTTTGCAGTGCGATCGGAATACCTCGAGTGAAGGCATAATCTATAACCCGATCCGAACGAATAGAGGTTGGAGCATCTGGCACAATAGGGGCCAAAAATCGTGAATCAGCCCATTTGAGCAATTCAGTAGCTGCCTTTCCGTCATTATTACTATCTAAATCTATATTAAAATCTCCAAGTATACTACAGTGATCAGTAATAAACTGCGATAGGGTCTCCCAGCCCCAGGTTTTACTCTTAGGGGCATATACACCAATAAGGCGAATTGCTCGTTCAAACTTTATGTCCACTATACAAATATTAGGCGTCTCACATTTGACACGCACCACAGAGAGACTATTTCTAACTACAATCAACACCCCACCCCATGGGTTTTCCCCCTTTTGGTAGAATAATCTATACCCAGGAAAAATCTGCTGTATCCAAGAATAATCAATCGCACCTATTTCGATCAGTATAATACAATCAACCGTATATTTTTCAGCGAGCAATAAGACCTCTTCCCACCTTTCTACTAGACCTCTGACATTGAAGAGAAGTATCTTTAGTTGAGAGGAAGAAGAATACGTACACAACTGGTTAAAGGATTTCCAATATGTAAAAAGGGAAGAAAGAGTGGGGAAATAACGCCATTCATTCACCATATCTGACAGTAGATTGAAGTCATAAGAAGAGATTAGAGAAGAAGTAAGTGATAACGCATACTCAATGTCGAAAACATTTTTCTTAACATATACTGAAGGTTGAAAGGGAGAAGCAAAAGGGGAAAGTTTAAAGTTGTATACTTGGTTTGTTATTGTGTATGTGAAGGATGATGTACATTGTTGTTAATTGATGGATCAGTACGTACGTCATTATTAATAAGGTTGAAATCATTAATTAGCTTGATTTTCAAGTGTTCGTTTTGAGCATATCTAGTCGACCACGTCGGAAGTTCATTTGCAAGTTTATCCGTAAGACCAGTTAATGATGAACATAATAGGGTTTTATCTTGTATAACATTTTGCTTCACGAGAATTGGTAATACTTCAACAAGTACCTGGCAGAGTGGTGATACAAATTCGTTCATAAATTCATGATGAAATTTAACATCGAGTTTTTGTACTTGAGTTTCATGATCCAGCTTGACCAGTACTTGTTGAGTTCGACATAATTGGTTCAAGGAGTTATTATTTAGTTCCAAAATTCTATTAAAATTTTCCTCCACTTTATTCAATTTTTGAAATAAATCATCAATGCGTTTGCCCATACTAATAGATGATTCATTACCACGATGATAACATCCACGATTACCATTTAATACGGGAAAATCTTGATCGTTTACACAATAATTTGTTGTATTGGTTGTTGATGAATTTTTCTTAATGTTATTAATTGTACCCGGTGCTGATAATAAAGATTTAGTAAGTAAAGAACGAAATGATTTTACCTCTGGACAACGATAATCATTGGATTCATGATCACCTGAACACCTAACACAACATCGTGGTTTAGTACAATTTTTATGTTGTTTAAGATCATCAACGCCAACACCACAAATTTTGCAGAATTCAAGTCTGCTCTTGCACGTACTTCTAAAATGACCAATTTGAAAGCATTTAGAGCATATAAGAACTTTTGCAGGCGCCAAATATTCTGCTACAGATAAACGAAGATTATTATTGTATACAAATTTCTTACGTAATAATTCTTCGATGATTTCAACCGAACAAATATCTAATCTAACAATTGATGTTGGAGTTTTACTTTTATTTGTTAATCGAAATGCATTTACAATATCTGGATATTCTTCTTTTAATTCATTAAGTAAGACATTCACATCTTTTTCAACTGGCACATTACGAAGGATAACTGAGAATTGAGGAGGAAGATGATTTGGTTTAATAAGTTCATAAATCGTTGAATTTATTATATCGGGCCATTTATTGGTATCATATAACATCAAGAATGATTCACGATTTTCAGCAAATAACAATAATTCTCGTTTATCCTTTAATCGATGACCTGCCAATGTAATGTTAAACTTATAGATGGCGGTAAAATGTTCCATAATATTATTAATCATCAACTTTTCCTCAACACTTTCATTGAATTTGACCACGAAGGGAGGAAAAGCAAAACGTGTTTCCGCGTACCTAATTGATTGCTGTGAAATTTCATTTAAGTAACTTCCGGTGTTGGGTCTATTGTTTGTTGTTTTATTAGGATGAAGATGAGGAATAGTAGAAGGTATAACGTTTGATGTTGCACTACTGGTGTTCGTAGATGATGTTGAACCATCAGTACATGAAGTGGAACTTGTTGACGTGGTTGATGAGGGTGTTCTAAGTTGTACGTGGTCAGTTTTTGCTTTCTTCTTTTTACGACCAACAGTTACGAACATCTCATCATTTTCATTTTCCATCGGAACAGTCGTACTTTGTACTTGCATTTGATGATCTAATTGTTGATTAACTGTACTTGGGGGTTGATTGAACATATTGTTTGACGTTGCGTACGAATTCGTTGTCATAAACTGGTGATTAAGTTGATTATTAAACAGTGGCATAGGTTGCTGGTGGAAGAGTGGGGTAATATATGGAGCATTTGGCGTGGATTGATGATTCATGTTATTAAAGTTACTGATGGAAATGGGACATAAATTATTTGATAAACCAGCTTGAGATTGAGATGAATGAAAATGAGGTAGTAACATTTGTTGACCGGGATGATTTTGCATATTCATGTGTACAGCTGATGAATTCGAAGCACATTGTTGTTCATTATAAATGCTGTTGTTACTAGTTGGTTGTTGGGACATTTGAAGAGAACAGGAGGGTTGTGAATAACCGGGATTGTACATATTATTAAGCAGGTCGGCGAGGCCGAGATAACTTAATAATAAGTGATTGGAATGTATGGCTTGTGGTGGGTCACGAGGTGAAGAACAAAGAGAAAACGTGACCAAGAACAAAGATATATATATATATGTGATATAAGGAATGAAAAAAAAAAGTGACTTATCGTGATGTCTAAATTTTTTTGAATGAGGTTCATTGGTTTCATTGGTACGTGCCGCAATGGAAAATATTTTCATCACAAAAATTTTTCATTCAAAAACATAAAGATGAGGGAGATAAGGCCAAGATTCATACAAAGAGATAATTGAACACTAAGGTAACAGATATTTGTTAAAAGTACAACACAATGGTCACTTGAAAAAGTCGTGCTTATATCAATTTAAATTGTCTGTACCACACAAATTTTTTCACTTCTTATTTGCTAATTAAGTATTAATGACATTCAGTTCGTCAATAATACAGTAGTAATTGATAGATAAATTACGGTGTGGGTGTAAATGAAGCGAGGATCCACACTCACACCCATCATCAAAAAAATTATAGCTAGATAACTGCAAATTAATATCAATACATTCAACATCAGCACTATTAGAACAATTGGAAAACAATAAAATACAATCATCGTTCGATGTTGTTAAATTTGTTGAAATATAATAATTGTTTTGAATAGACAATGGTCTACTATCATGATTAACGTATGGTGTTGCTATTTCATTTGCACGCTCAGGAACAATATTTTGATGTACATTGGAAATACTGTTATTTGTTATAACAATTGATTCTTCTTCTTCATATTAATCTATATTAGAATTTGACGATATTGATAGTACATATTTGAGTTTTTCAACGACAAGTGAATCTAGTGTTGACGCTTGTTTAGGTTTATTCATGTTGAATTTTTAATCTATCACAAATCTATTTATGACCTCTATGAAACGACTACAATTCATAAACGAACGAGTCATTTCGTTCAAATTGTGAACATTTCACATTTAGATTATCATTTTTTTCGGACGTTTTTAATTTGAGATTTTATTAAAAAAAACTTCTTAAGCAATTAATCTAGAAAATTTATCATCACTTTTCAGAAGGGAAGGTGTACACATTCCCCTCTATATTCCACGATTGCCACATTCCTGCATAGACATAATTCATTGTATTTAATGTCCTTCTTTTTTTTTTCGGAGGAGAAATTTATAGCTGCTTAGTTTATTTCTTCATATGTAGACGAATATGTGTATAAGTTAATTATTTAACAAGGAAGATAAAAGATAAAATAATACTAAATAGTTAAAAGGAGTGAAAAACAGAAACACTACAGCAGTAATATTATTAACATGCAATGATTACAGATCAAAAGAAACATATGACTATAATTATGATAAATTATGCCAAATTAGATGTTGTTTGTCATTTGTTTGAATAGTAGTTATCTGAGAAACAAACAAGATAAGTTCGAATGCAAAAATTGATTTCTCAATCCATTCAACAATGAATATCTTTGAGAAAAATGTTACTGAACAAGCATATTGATTCACGATTTTTTCTGGGAGCGAAAATTTGAAGCTTCAAAACTGTATTTCTATGTCTTGCTTTGTCTTAAAATTTTTTTATTGAACGAAAATGAAATTTTTATGGACACTGATATTCACAATTTCGGTCGATATTTATTGGATCGATAAGATTTTGAAAAATAATAGCGAATCGATGATCTTAGAACTACATTAACTTAATAAAAATAATTAATAACCATTGCAAAAGAGAGAAAAATATGAGTATTTTTTTTAATACATTTTGATAGAACTAGATAAAGAGCTGCGATTTTTACTGTTTAAAAGAGGAGATGAAATTGTATTGAATCATATATATCAGATTTTTCCGACAAGTTTTCTTAGAGTCTAACATCAAGTTTGTTAAAAACAAAACATCGTCTAATATAAAAGTTTCCGATTTCACCTTTTAGGGATTCCCTAGAATCATTAATTGAAGATCTATAAATTACATAAATCCCACATTGTAAGATTTAGTCAATCATGAGTTATACACATTTTTCTGCATGTTATCCGAGGATTTTTCATCGAAAAATTGACGTTTTTTCTCATTTTTTAACAAAAAATCCACCTTATAAACAGATTCAAAAGCCTGGATTTTTTGAAAAAAATGAGGAGAGAATCTAACAAACTTGATCAGAAAAATTTGGTATACATGATTTGATCCAGTTTCATCTCCTCTTTTAAACGATGAAAGCTGCAGCTTTCTATGTCTAGTTTCTATAAAATGTTATTCAAAAGATATTCACGCTTTTTCTTTCTTTTTTGAAATGGGTATTAGTTTGTCTTGAACACTTTTTAGCAAAATGAAAATATTTTCCCGATTGATAAACATCATGCTCTTGTATAATTTCTTTCGATAGATTAAGTCATTATCAATAACAACACATAATACATAGAGAAAAATCGTAGCTTGTTGCTAAAATCGTTAGATCAGAGATTGTTTTAGTTCAATTATGATGATATAATTGTTACTTTTTCATGAAGCAAATAAATTTTAATATCATCTTATAGTTTGCTTAAGAAAACTTAATTGAGTTTTATATTTTTTCGCAAAGACCTAGCAAATAAAACCCTACTGCATGTTTGTTTTTCAACCTTGTAGATGTTAAAAACGATACAAATCTTTAATTGCAGAGAAATATCACATTTCAACGCCTCCTGATCAGACCTGCATTGATTTTCATGTACATATTATTTAAGAATTTTATAGAATGATAGCAAGGCATAATATTAAGAATTAAAAACTAAAACAAAATTCATTTTATATAAATAAACTATTCTAATAAATGAAACACAATTAAGTGATGAACGATTTGATGAGTTACTTGTAGAATGTCAGATCTCATTTCCTAAATAATGTTCAAAGATAATAACTAAATTGCATGAGAAAAATTTGAAATTTAACTAAGATTGATCGATATAAAAATCAAAGAAGTTCGATTTTTAAGAAAATATAGTACCCTGAGAATAAATATATTCTTAAGTTTATTTTTTTTTCTCTAGCCTTTCATGTCTACAATTAAAGAAACTAGTCAACATATCAAGAAATCAAAAATAAAAAAGGGTCATATTTGAAAATCATTATTCATTCTCTTCTAATCTTGTATCTATTAATTACTTAATCAAATTGATACAGCATTTAATACTGAAAATTTTTTTTTCAAGGCTAAATTTTATATTTGATGTAACATTGTGTCTTCTCTTGGTTCCATCGATCAAAATCGCGATAATGTTTGTTTGCTTTTTTTTGTCTACATTTCATTAGTCTATTCACATAAAAAATCATATTTTGATAAATATGTGTCTCATAAAATGACTATCTTTCTTGGTAATCATCTTGATCATTCGAGTGTATCGAACAGTGAGTGTTTATTTATTCAAAGAAATGAGTCTACAATGTCAGTCGATACAAAATAATTAGACACTTTATCCTTC